AATGAATACGTCTAACGGTTAATTACAGCAAAGCTTCAGGAACTTCAGGCTTGGGAAGATCACTGAAATTGTGCAGCTGCATCTGAAAGGAAGGCCCAACAATATAAAACATAGCTGTTTTCCATTTGTAACAAGGGAACGAAGCCCATTGTTCAGCTACAGCTCATGTTCACAATGAGTGATGTATCCAGGACTTCCAGAAGGTCGTGGGTGATGCATTTTCTCATGAAATCAGTTTCAACCCATCACAAATCAAAATGTGATTGGATGATTCTACTATCACTTCCTAAATATAATGAGATCGATATTTTCCCAACACCTTATTTTGATGGGCCACTGTGGACGCTCGCCTTGCCTTTAACCAATACTCAACACATTATATTTCCAAAAGGTTGTAGACAATGGCTCATCCATGTATTAATTGAAAATCTGTCCCTCTTTCCTGTAGTAACAGCCTCTACTCTTCATAGAAGACTTTATGCTAGATGTTGGAACATTGCTGTGAGGATCTGATTGCATTCAGCCACAAGTGTTCTAGTGAGGTCAGGTACCGATGTTGGATTATCAGTCCTGAATCACTACATCTTATCCCAAAGATGATGGATGGAGCTCCATCACTCCAGAGAACGCAGTTCCACTGCTCTACAGTCCAATGCTGGGGGGCTTTATACCCCTCTAGCTGAAGACTGGCATTGGATATGGTAACCTTGGGCATTCATGGCTGTTCCAGAGTGTCCCATTCTACAGGCAGTGCTTTATATGGAGATTATTGGCAATAAACAAAAAAAAAAACAAGTTTTTGCTCATAAAAACACCATATAATCATTAGAGTACATGCAAATAAACACAAATACAGTGCAAAGTACCAAATTTCTTATTTAAAAAAAAAAATGGTTGACATCTTGTGAGATAATTATAAGAGCAAAGTTAGAATCCAGATTTTTCCATCACCAGCACATAATGATTTCACATAACTGGATAGATAAACCAGGTATTGGATGACAACTACAAAATAATACTGGACTTTCTCAAGGAGAGGTTAGAATACAGTATTATTAAGTTATTGTATCTATCCATGAGTGATGGGTTTATACTGTATATAAGGGGTCTAACAGAGATGTTGGGGGACCCAGTCACCCCAAAGACACAACCACCACGTAATGGGCACCAGAGTGATTGCCACACTTGCACGGTCCATTATCTCTTGAAACAAAGCCATTTTCTTATTCGTTTCTGCAAAGTTAACACTGCTGCCATATTTCTATACAGTGCAGGTCTGAATGCACAAAGTCTGGCACTGGGCAGCCCACTGTACCCTGGTTAAAAACCAGGGCTGGGAAGATAAAAGTGAAAACACTACAAACTCCCTTTCTTCTACTTTCACCAATCCAATCTGCGGAAGAATCTGAAATGGGATGGAAGCCAAGGGGAGGAAGCTTCCGTAAAGCATTAGAACTGGCTCGGGCCTGGAACCGCTGCTCCATTAGACTGATTAATAGCATCCCACATCGCTGGCTGCTTTCCAGATATTTGACGGAAAGTGTGAGGCTTTTGACTTCCTGTTTGGCTTGCCGTGCTCACCGCATCAGCAATTTTTTTAACGTCCCCGTATTAAAAAGGCCTACTTGAGAGGCGGGCGTCTCCTAAACGAGGAAAATGAACCTCCTTTTTTCGTGTTTGGAGGGTTTTTTTCCGCACCGTAACATTTATTAGTCACATCTATTATGTACAAAATGGCAGGCAGAACAAAGGGCTGTTAGAAGCAGTCGAGCGACGGAGAAAGCGAGGGAGAGAGAGAGAGAGAGAGAGAGGGAGAGAAAGTAAAGGAGGCACAGTAATTAAGTACCCTTCTAAAGAAGATGAGACATCAGCACTTAGAGAAAGAGAGAGAGAGAGAGAGAGAGAGAGAGAGAGAAAGAGAGAGAGAGAAAACGAGAGAAGGCACTTCACAAGCTGTTACTTTGTGGTTAATTGACCATTTCCCCACTATCTTTCGCTCTTATTCTGTCTTTGACACACCGCACACATTGAAAATGTCTTTACATCGCCGCTCACGTTCAAGCAAAGCATTTCTCCGCAATTTGTTGATTCACATGAAAAACATGCGACTTTCATGCTAAACATTCTGAGAAGATTAGCTAAAAGAAAACTAGAATTAAAAAAAAATATTGAAAGCTACAGAGAAAATGGGGCTCCTAACAACCACCTGGAAGACCAGGTAGTCATCAAAACTGCCCCCATCAGATAAACAGCACTCAAAGCTTTCATCTTTGAGAGAGAGGAGAAAATTAAGCTGCTTCAGATCTGAAAACATCCACAGGTGTTTCTGTCCATCCTTCCACTGTGAGAAGACGACTCAGCGCTATGGGTCTGAAAGGATGTGTAGCTCTCAAGAAGAACCTCACTGAGAAAAGGAGACACATCAAACAAAGAAGCTGAGCTATGGACTGACCACCCCAGAGTCCAGACCTCGACATCACTGAATGTGTTTGGATTACTTGGATTGTGAAAAGCAATCCATGACTGAAGACTCAACTTTGGAGAAGTGAAAAACATTCCTGGAGATTTCTTTGAGAAACTGAAAGTAAGTGTACTAAAAAAGAATAGATACTGTAATAAAGGTAAAAGCTGAAAAAAAACATATTTAGTTGTTCAGGGTTCTGTGTAATTTTCTGTTCAATAAACATTTTCTGCTTTTTGTTCTGACAAGTGAATTACTCAATGGCAATTTTGACTGGAAATTAAATAAATAAAAGTGGGCTTTGATTTTTTCACAGTACTATGCGTAATCAAATATTGATTTGTATTATGGAATGTGGGAAACAATATACCGCGACCCAGAAGGATAAGTGGTTTAGATGATGGATGGATGGATGGAAACAATATTGCAATGCATTATATTTTTATGTGAATATCCATTGTAATGGTGAGCAAACCTTTTTAACATTGCTGCATGATAATGAATAATAAGTGGTCAGTGAGTGGAAGTAGAAGGTAGGTGTTTCTGATAAAGCGGCCAGTGAGTGGAAGTACAATGTAGGTGTTTCTAATAAAGTGGCCAGTAAGTGGAAGAACAAGGTAGGTGTTTCTAATAAAGTGGCCAGTGACTGGAAGTACAAGGTAGGTGTTTCTAATAAAGTGGCCAGTGAGTGGAAGTAGAAGGTAGGTGTTTCTAATAAAGTGGCCAGTGAGTTGAAGTATAAGATAGATGTTTCTAATAAAGTGGCCAGTGAGTGGAAATACATGGTAGGTGTTTCTAATAAAGTGGCCACTGAGTGGAAGCATAAGATAGGTGTCTCTAATAAAGTGGGTGGAGAGTATTATTATCCATATTATTATCCAGATATACCAGTTGTCAGTGTCAGTCTAGAACTGTGTCATGCATCGGTCTACACCTGCCTGAAGGGTGGCTACACACTTGCTCAGAGTGCACTCGACTAGCTCTATGGCAATGGAATGAAGTGCACTCAGAGTGCGCTACTGTGGAGATCGAAAAACAGTTCTTGTTGGCTGTTGTTATTTACCGTCTAGCTGTCCAGCCGGCGAGTTTTTAGTAAGGCTTGAGTGCTCTCGCCGACTGCAGCGATTGATTTGTTGTCTGATGTTAATTATCCGGGGTGTGTGTGGCAGCACCTGTGGGGGCCTCGTTTATTCCAGCTCTTATTCTGCCATCGATTGATACAAGCTTATCCTGCTCATGCAGTAGCGTCCACTTGGCTCAGACATGGAGAACAGCTTTAATCCTGCCTCACACGCTCTCCCATACACACACCTACACCAGGCTGGACATTGTCATCTAATCACTATACCTATTAAAAGCATCCCACTAAAACCAGTAGAACTATATAAAACTCTATTATAGGGTACGGGAACGGTCTCTAATCACTATTCTGTATGTTATTATATTTGGAGCACTATATAGAACACTATTATAAGAAGCAGAAACATTAGAAAAGTTTGCTCATTATCTTGCACTATTATTACACATATTTGCTCATTATTCTGCGCTAAAGTTACTCAGGTTTGCTCATCATTGCAATGGACATCCACATAATCTGCAATATCATGCATTAAAACTACACAGATCTGCTCATTATCGTACACTGACATAACACAGGTTTGACATTGCTACCATGTACTTGCACTCACTGGCCACTTTATAAGAAACACCTACCTTGTACTTGCACTTACTGGCCACTTTATAAGAAACACCTACCATGTACTTGCACTTACTGGCCACTTTATTAGAAACACCTACCTTGTACTTCCACTCACTGGCCACTTTATTAGAAACACCCACCTTGTACTTCCACTCACTGGCCACTTTATTAGAAACACCCACCTTGTACTTCCACTCACTGGCCACTTTATTTTTAGCTCTGTATATAAGTGTACAATTACACACTGTAGCCCATCTGCCACACAATTTGTCTACTACACTTTCTAAGTTTCTGACCAGAGGACTGCTGCTGACCAGATATTATTTGGGAGAAGGACCATTCTCAGCACAGCAGTGACATTTGTTGTAGTGCTGTAATCTGAGAGTACATGGTTACAGTTACATTTTATGAAAAATATTCAGGTAATATTTTAAATAAAAGCAACTTTTGGAAGCCATAAGCTAAGTGGATTAGTCACAAAAAAGTAACACATGCCTTAAGATGTTATACAGTGTCCTTAAGACACTGAAGCTTTAGCATTATCTAGAAAACTGTCGCTACATTAGCCTAGATCAGCACAACAGCCTTAACCAATACATTAGGAAGGTAGGCTCATACTAATGCTATGTTCAACAACTACGGTAGACAAGTACATATGTCCATTTAAAATGTGATGTTAGAAAAAAAATAATGAATAATAATGAAAAGAATGAAAATAATCAGGCTGATAATAAAATAATATCAATTTATACAATTTTGCTCACCAAACAAGGACAAGGTCGAGGTTGTACCTGCTGTAAAACACTAACAAACTAGCCATCCTCTGTCTGGACCACTCACCTGTCAGCTATCGGTGGTGGGGCAGTAGACTTTGGCTTGTTGACTTTTGCGTAGAGTCCTTCTAGTGGGACTTCATTAGCTGGTGGTCCACTGTGGGCAGTGGCTGTGGGCTGGGGGTGGTGAGGAGAGGGCGTACGGTTCATAAAAGGTGAGTAGCTAGGAGGTGGAGGCTCTCTGAAGTTGTTGATACGGGCGTAGTTTGGGTCGAAATCATCATCCTCCACATCAGGAAAGGATGCTTGGTTAGGGACTGAACCGTCCACCTCCGGTCTATCAAACAGAAAAGACATTTATAACAATAGATATTTTCAGACACATACACTGTACAGTCTGCATGTGTGTAAAACATTCTAAATGTGTCCAAAATTATTATTTATGGCATTTGCGAGACGGTCTTATTCAGAGTAACTTACAATTTAATTTGGCTTGATAAAAGAGGCAGGTGAACGAAGCATTAGGAGTCTTGCCCAGGTATTCTTATTAGAATAGGCTTTTTTTCCTCCAGGCAGGGAACTGAACTCTGCCCAGTGTTATCCACTATGCTATACCAATATACACTATATGACAGAAAGTATGTGGACATGAGTTCAGGTGTTTCAGCCACACCCATCGCTATATGTGTATAAAATCAAGCACATGGCCTCATCTCAATAGACAAACACAGGCAGCAGAATTAGTTGTACTGAAGAGCTCAGTGGCTTTAAACCTGGCATCAGGAAAAATGGGTTTTCATAGCCGAACAGCTGCACACAAGCCTAAGATCACTATGTGCAATGCCAAGTGTCAGCCGGAGAGGTGTAAAGCACGTCGCCACGGCACTCTGGAGCAGTGGAATCATGTTCTCTGGAGTGATAAATCATGGTTCATCTGACAGTCTGATGGATGAATCTGGGATTGGCGGATGCTGGGAGAACACTACCTACCGGAATGCATAGTACCAACAGTAGAGTTTGGTGGAGGAGGGATAATGGGCTGGGGCTGTTTTTTAGGGTTTGGACCCCTTAGTTCCTGTGAAGTGTGATGTTAATGCTACACTATACAAAGACATTTTAGACAATTACATGCTTCCAACTTTGTGGCAACAGTTTGGGAACCCAACTGAATATATCTTGGATGAATCATGACATCAATTATAGGACTTCTTGTCCAACATCAGTGCCTGACTTCACAAATGTTCTTTTGACTGAATGGGCATCAATTCCCCTAGACACGCTCCAAAATCTTGAGGAACTAAGTAATTCTTATTGTATATTCAGCTGTATTATCATCTAATGCTTTTATTTTTCTGTGTTTATGTAAAGCACTTTTAATTGCCACAGTGTATAAAAGATGGTATACAAACAAACTTGCCTTGCCTACAGAAAATACATGATTAATATGACCAATGATTCCAAACTTTTGAGGAGCAGCATTTCTTGTTTTCAACTGAAATGTTCTCATATTTTTCCAGTTTTTAGTTGAACTCAGAAAGAGTTACTGGGATATGTCGAACAAACGATGGTTCTGATAACTTTATACCTGTGAATGGATATGAAATTGAATTTAGGTTCTTTTCCATTTTTCCCATTTCAGATTTTTCCTTTCACACAAATTGTAAGAAAAACTGCAAGGCAGGTATTGAATCTGCGTGAAAGGCAGGCGTCCACCGTGCCCGAACTTACGCATGTGGGAGCATTTCAGCTTCACTCTTATCGACTTCTTCTTCACTCAGCGCGCCCAACTTAGCTTTGGCTTTGGCCTTATCTTCTTTGTTCTTCCTTCCAAACCTAAAAGAGAGAAGGGAGAGATAAAAGAGGTGCTGATGGACTTGTGGGAGGGACCGAACTGGACAAAATATTAGAGGACTAGAAGTGCCTCAACTCCAGACAAAGTTTTCAGACTCATTTCCCTTACGTCCACTCATCCGTCCATGACTGTTCTGGACGGTCCTCATTTGGATGCACATCAGTGACACATAACGATTATAAGACTAATAGCGGAAGTTCGACAGAAAAATAAGAGTGAGTGAGCGAGGGAGGGACGGAGAGAAAGTGAATGCAAGAGAAAGGTGGGTATTTACAATTAGATACAGTGGCAGCGATGACAGCCTGCAAGCAGACGCAGCACTGAAGCATGAACAAAAGCGGTCCAGAAAAAGGTTTCCGGTTCACTGCTTGGGCAACACGTGAAAATTTCACACTGTCTCCGCATAATCAACACCAGCTCGGTCATAATCAACATCACTCCTTGTCGGCTGCGCTCCAGTGAGTGCCTCCGTACATCATTATCATATCAAAATCAAAACTGAAAGACTGTAATTTGGAGAATTTCAATGGTCCGTAAGCAAAGGAGCAATGGCAACATTTTTGTTCAAGGTAAATATTGGCTAAAAGGCCAGATTTATTATTATGGTCAAGCGTGACTGCTTTGGGACTTTTCCTTAGTGTACTTTGTCAGGGTCTAATTTGAAAGACCAGAAAAATCCAATCTGACAAATTAAAAGTCCATACATGAACACAAAGTCACCAAAACACTGCATTAAAAAGAATGTGCCAGTCCTTTTTTTAACCTAGTCTCTAGGTGTCATAAATGCAGCATTTTTTTACCAGATAGCAATTTCATAGAACTTAAAACTCACTTATAATAGAGGCAAACAGCCAGTTGCTGAATTCTGTTGATAAACACGTGTGCCAAATCTGAATTTTCATAGGAATGCTTTCATGAATTTGTCATGATATTGGTAAATCAAGCTGCAATACAAGCCAGGAATGCACATTCAGGATAAAACACTGACAATGTAGCAGAGATGGGGACTCGAGTTAGCATCTGACATTCCTTTGATGGACTTGCCGTCAACTGACTCAATCTCTATGCTCACTTGAGTTTAACTGATGTGACTTGTCATTAACTGACTTGCGCCGTAATTCAGATTTGCCCTTATCTGAGCTGCAGCTCAACTCAGACTTGCCTTTAACCAACTGATCTTGGATTTGCTCTACATTATCTCACAACTCAACTGGAACTTATCGTTAACTAACAAGTAAATCAACTCAGACTTGCCCATACCTCACTCGCAACTTAACTCTGACGTGCCCTTAATTGACATGTAACTCAACTCAGCCTCGAAGTGACATGCAATTTGACCCTGCCTTGTCCTCGACTGACTTGGAATTGATCATGGATTTTCCCTTTACTGACTCACAACTCAACTGGGACTTGTCCTTAACTAACTTATAACTTAACTCAGACCTGCTCTTAAATGACTCGCAACTCAACACAGACTCGCTCTTAACTGATTCGCACTTCAATTCAGACTTTCCCTAAATTGACGTTACTCAACTCACACTTACCTTTAACTGACTTGCAACTCAACTCAGACTTGCCCTAAACTGACTCAAAACTCAGACTCAGATTTGCCCTTCATTAACTCACAATACATCTGGGACTTGCTCTTAACTGGCTGGCAACTCAACTCAAACCTGCCCTTAACTAACCCGCAACTCAGACTCAGACTTTCCCCTGACTGACTCGGAACTTGACTCAGATTTGCTCTTAACTGATTCGAAACTCAACTCAGACTTACCCTTAATTTACTCACAATACAACTCAGATTTGCCCTTAACTGACTCGCACCTCAACTCAGATTTACCTTTAACTGACTCGCACCTCAACTCAGATTTGTCCTTAACTGACTTGCACCTCAACTCAGATTTGCCCTTAACTGACTCGCAACTCAGACTTCCCCTTAACTGACTCACAACTCAATTCAGACTTGCCCTTAACTGACTGGCAACTCAACTCAATCAATTTTGCTTGATCCTTGATTTTTAATGATTCTATTGTTGTTCATGGAGACATTGAATATGTCAGGTGCCCTTCAAGACAGATCACTATAACTGAGGCCATAACACAAATCCTAATAACAATCTAATACTTAACTAAAGTTCACAACTAAACACTCAAAGTTGACTCAGACTTGCACCTCACAGACTTGAGAATTCACTTGGACACCATCTTTCTAATGTAGGGGTCTAGCTTAACCAACATCACCCCACCACGTCCACTGTGTGATTGCACTTGAGAGGTGTTCCGTTTCCCAGCCCCCCACACTCACTAATGACTGTATTTATCTCATTAGACTGCAGCTACAGTATCTAATACCAGCGTCTGGCATGCTAGCTCTGCCTCGCCCTTAAGCACTCATTAGAGCCAGAGGAGCTGTGGCCTGAATAGCAATGCACGGTAGCAGCAATGAGAGTGCAGCAGGCAGAGCATAGTGCTTTTATTATGTTACCACAAACACAAAAATGAACACTATATTCCAGGTTGCTTACATTCACAGCAACCACTTGCAAGCTGCAGATAATGTAACTCAACCAAGAAACAATCAAAAACTCAATATGGAAACTTGTAAAAACTCAGAGTTTGCCACGAGTTGCACTAAAATTGCTGTAAATGCAAGTGGTCCACTCAGGGTTCCATGGTACCAGAGTTCACCAGCTAGTATGGTCTCTGATTCAACATGAACTAAGTCCCCAACACCGAAGCCAACGTAAAACCAAATAGCAATAGCATGTGAGCTGAAGCCTGATCTTAGCCTGATACCCTGTTGTCCGAGGTTTTGCCTGATGTCCAACTGAGATGAGAGCTGAGATGTGACTGTGTTTTCCTGAGACCCTGACGCCACGATCTAAAGATGTCTTAAACCGCTACCAAGCCAAAGTTTTATTACACACTTCTATAACCTAAGAATAGCTCCATTGATTTGCATTGAAGTCCCTGTAGTTAATGAATAATAAGCATCTGTATGTAATAAGCCAGGAATGTTAATGGGTTTAAAATGTAGATTGTACCAAAAGTGGCTTGTTGTACGGTCATGACATCTACCTGCCACAATGGCATACAGTTCCCCCATCCCTCAAGTGTGCTGGGTACAATAAATGTGATATTAATGTAAGATATTATATCAACCAACATGTTTAACAGATTATCTATGTTTTCATGTGGGAATGTCTTGCATGAAATAAAGTATTTGAAAAAAGACCATTTTAAATGGGTTTTTACAGTCATTGTTGACATCCAGTTAGTAGTCACCAGACAGGGGCCTAGTAAATATAAAACAGTACATACATTTCTGTATCATGATGTGTAAATGAAACATATTTCTAGTAAACAGTCAGTTTTGGTAAGAAAACAATAATAAATAATTTGCTGCTGTCGGAAGAAAACGTTGTATCTCCATTTTTTTTTTTCATTTTTTGACATAATTTGAAAATATTTGTTGCCCTTTATATTGTGTCTAAATTTCATGAAGGATGGACCAAAAGAAACGGCCCAAAACGACTTGGAAAAAAAGTCTGGCTCCATTGACTTACATTAAAAGTAAAGCAGTTTTTTTCCTTCTCCTGTAAATTTACCATTTTGGAGATACGAGGTTTTCTTCCAACAACAACAAATTGATTTCCAGTGAGTGCTGGCAATAGCCCATCACACTGTCCATGTGATTAACTGACCAGTTGCCAATGACCTTCTGAATAACATGTCAATACTTTCATCAAAGTTGCAGCCCAACTTGTTTTAACCAGCACTATATTTAGCTGATCATCTTTTATATTAGATGAGTGCGTTTCCATGGTAATGATTATGCTGAGAGTAAGACAGTTGAGACAATGGACTACTGATTGCCGGACGGAGAGAAAAAACGCAGACAACAAGGACTAAAAAGACATATGAACAAATAAAAATGAGGAAAACAGTGGAACAAAGGTTATAATTAAAGAAATGGCCAAACAACACCACTTTCTACAGCATTAGACACATCACTCATGCAACGGCAGGCTCAGCTTGAGAGAAGTGGTTAGTAAGTGAAGTTCAAACAGTCCCCAAGCATTCTCCCTAGGGCACTGCATGGCTCAAAAGAGACTGTGGAGCATGAAATATTCATATCGCTACGTGTCTCATGACCCAAGGTACAGTCTAGCGAATGCAGTTCTTCAGGTATCTTCTTAGGTAGCCTTAAGTTAGCATAACCGTTCATATTATTAAGATTATGTAGCCCTGGGGAGTGAGGTTGATTTAATGGTCATGGTGGATGGTCCTAGGAGGAAGCTGATTAGCATTACTCGGTTGTTAGCATTGGGCTGAGGTATGTGGCCCTGGGAAGTATGGGAACTGGGCTAATGGCCGTAATATGGGTTGAAACAGGTTTCGGAAGAATTATTGAGCTTATTAGAGTGAGGATCTGGTATGCAACCTTGAAAGAATGCAGGGAGGGACACCTTGCCATTCATTGAGGCATTGAAAAGTATTTTTAAGCCAATTACAACTAATTCATGTCCTGTTAGCTTGTGATCACAACCTTCACAAGGTATGAAGTGTTTTGCTATTAGCCCCAGTCCTAGCTTGCTTTAATTAACGACGGACATTTACTGAACTCATTTTTTTCTAGCTGTGCAAAGACAATGGCAGAATATTAACTGATTCTAGCTTCCTTCCCAGTTCAGTGATTTATTAGTGCAAACGGGATGGAAGTGTTTCAGCAAACCAAACCCCCCACCGAACATTTCCTGCAGACAGACAGATCCATGGGAAGTGGAGAGCTAACACTAAGCTGATCATTATGTGTGCATACATTAAAGTCTCCATCCCTTACTGCTGTGTGAGGTTTAACTGGAGCTGCTTAATTAGGTAGACCTGTCATGAGAGGAACCCCCCTTACTCATTCGGCCTTTTTTCTCATCTGCCTCCGAGGCTCTCCTTTATACTGAACTCTCACATTCATGGAAAT